GGAAGGCCGCGGCGGGCGTTCGGGAGGGCGCGGTGGGCGTTCGGGAGGCCGCGGCGGGCGTTCGGGAGGGCGCGGCAGGCGTTCGGGAGGCCACGGCGGGCGTTTGGGAGGCCGCGGTGGGCGTTCGGGAGGCCACGGCAGGCGTTCGGGAGGCCGCAGCGGCCTCCAGACCGCACCACAGCTTTAGAGCAGCTTTTTCAACATTACTGATTTTTTATTTATTTAGAATATTTTTTTCCTTGTTTTCTTCCTCTAAAAACTATGTGCGTCTTATGGTCAGGTGCGTCTTATGGTGCGAAAAATACGGTATATGGAATCGTTAGCAAGTACTTGAAAACTGAGCAAGGAATAACATAAAGAAATGTGATGTCTACGTGATTCTTTAACATATTTATAATACATCTATAAGGTGATCTTGAAGCTATGTTGGTTAGGGACACGAACGTACAACAAATATTTATACTAACTGAGGTCAAGAAGTGAAAATAAAACAAGCTTGCAAATTCTATAAAACCCTATTACACACTTGATCTTTTAATCTTTATTGAATTTATTTGTTCAGTCTGTACTGCCTTTCAGTGATTATAGATTTTGATTTTTTTAATACAAAAAATAAAATTCAAAACAAATATACTTGCTGAATACGTCCTAAAAATGGTAAGTGTAATATAAAATACTTCAATCTGTATTCCACTGATATCTTCAGGAGCTATCGTGGATTTCCCCTTCTTCCTCAGAATACCTTTCCTTAATCATCTCTTCGTTAGGTGTATTGATTTCTAAAGGGGAAAAAGAAATATATTTATACAGTTTTTGCTATTAATTCAATCTAGTTGCATCTGCTACTAATGTGCCTATCTATAACCACACCGTTATTGATAAATAGCTTGCCATGAGATGTACAAATTCTGGATTTGCTATAAAATTATAGTTCTCAAAATAATACAGGTAGCCCCCATTTAGCAAGTGCCTTGTACAACAACTCTTCAAAGTTACGATGGTGATGAAAAAGTGACTTTGGGACCCATCTTTACATATAAGCCCTTCCCAGGTCTGTAAAACAAAGGTAAGCTGAAGTAAGATCATAAGCGCAGTCACTGTTTCACTTAGCAACCACTTCACTGAACAACTGAGTCCCAAATTGTGTTTGCTAAATGAGGACTACCTGTAAAGCACTGCTAACAGTTAAAAAAACGGTTCTGTTATCCTCTGATCAATTAAGATAGTTTCAAATCTTTAATCTAGAACAGTGGTGGCGAACCTATGGCACGGGTGCCAGAGGCGGCACTCAAGAGTCCTCTCTGTGGGCACGCATGCACACCGTCGCCCCAGTCCTAGGCCTTTTTGCTTTAGGCCTCCGCCGCCATGTGCAAAAAAAAAAAAAGGTTCAATCAACGAGTCAATTTCAACTTTTTGCGGGGAAAAAAAAGATCTTGCAAAGTTGGAATTGATTTGATTGATTGAACTTTTTAGTCCCACCCAGTCTGCCGTTACCACCGCAGCCACGCCCACCCAATTGGCCACACCCAGCCAATGGGCCACACCCACCCAGCACCCGACAATGCATAAGTGGGTTTGGGGTTGCAGTTTGGGCACTCGGTCTCTAAAAGGTTCGCCATCACTGATCTAGAAGATCAAGCTACCCTCACTAATTCCACTCCTTACTCCTTGCACACCCTCCCCAATCCTTGCCACACTTCTTGTGTACTCCCTTGTTCCCTCCACTACCTGGCAGCAGCCACTTATTTGCCTACTGGCTTTAGACTTGCAATTTCCTGTGGTCCCACTGATTTTGCTTGTGCAGGGAGCAAATCAATGGGGAAACTGCAGGGAAGGTTGCAAGTTGCTTGGGTAAGTGTATTCCTCTCCTGCACACCATTCCCCAAACCCCCTACATCCATGCTGGCCTCACACATCTTCAGGGACCCTCCTGACCCACGCAACATCCTCGTGCACCTCTTTAACCTGTGCTGCACTCTTGCTACACTTCTCAGGCTTTGGGGAAGCTTGCAGGACACATTAGCAATCACAACTAAGTTTAAACTGCTGGCTTCCCCAATGAATTGTGGAATATTGTGAGGTAATTTGGAAATGACAATCACACTTCCTGCTCTGGCTTGTGGGAAGCCACCACAACTTTTAAAAATTTCTATTCCAGGGGAGTAATGTGTCCCAGATTTTAGACACATTCTAAAAGCTAGCCACTTAAAGTACCTTGGTACAAAAAAATGTTGCCCTATGATGCACTGTTTTGCTTAATTTAAAATTACAGACACAAGAGTTTTAGTGGTATATAGATAGTATATGTCAAATCATCTCCCCACCCTCCAAAATCAATTCTGCAGAACTATCAAATGCCCCTGATTATCCAAAGCAGTTCCTTAAGAGCTGGTTTCTAGAGACTCACTCATCCTCTACTACTCTATGGCTCAGAATGCTTCTGGCAATGGAAGTACCAGAAAGTAATAATACCAAAGTAGTAGTAGATGTTCTGTGGGTTTGGTCAGGCTTCATGAAAAGAATTTCCATTTCTGATAAAGATCAGCATTCCTTTTACTATATTTAAGTCCTAAAAATATTAATAACTACTGTTTCATCCAAGATGATTCCTCCCTTCTCGTATTATTATGTATGCTGGAGAGGTATGGGCAGAAGTTCTGTGAATACAGTTATGACATTTCGGACAAAAACTAAATACGATTACTATGCCAGAGAAAACCTGGTATTTCCTTTTCCTGCAATTTATTCTGATAATTTGATATTTGGTGTCTGAAGTCAGGCTTTAATGTCAAAAACGTCTGTGATGTGAATCCTAATGATTGGAATTTCAGAATCACGTTGAATTTCAACGTTTGCCTCAGAGGGAAGGGTGATTTCGATCATTATTCAGAAAATGACCTTTCATTTATTTGAGATTGCTACTTGTCTGTTTAGTCTCCTAGAATTCTGTCTGTTCAAAGAAATAAGGAGATTTGAAGGTTTGCTGAAAGAGATTATTTGTTGATCTGATATTACCTCAGGAGCAACTTTCTTTTTCTACTGTATATTCTACTGGCAGAAGAATGCCCGGAAATCAAGAATATGATATTACCTGGTAGTGATTTTATTATCTTGCCTAATTTCAAAATTGTTTAGCTATAGAAGCCTTGAAATCTTGGAATACAAAAAAAAAAAAAAAATCTTAATGGAGAAGACCTGATCTAAGTGACTGTAAAATGTCTATCTAGTCCAAGGGTAGGCAACCTTGGCTCTTTTATGACTCGTGGACTTCAACTCCCAGAATTCCTGAGCCAGCCATGCTGGCTCAGGAATTCTGGGAGTTGAAGTCCACAAGTCATAAAAGAGCCAAGGTTGCCTACCCCTGATCTAGTCCAAGAAAGATAAGCATTTTGGCTTTCATGGCCCAATCGGAATCAATTCTGTCTTCTATTTACATTTTTTCCTGATTCTTCTTGCGGTGAGGAATGTATAAATTATGTACTTCTGTTACAGGAGATTTAGAAGTTCTGATTTTCCTTCTCTCAACACAGTAGTGAACCTTGCCACTGTATTGTTTTACTAATCTAGAATCTTTGCACTCTAAAATTAAAGGACCTAGGGCAGAGGTAGGCAACCTTGGCTCTTTTATGACTCATGGACTTCAACTCCCAGAATTCCTGAGCCAGCAGGAATCCTGGGAGTTGAAGTCTACGAGTCATAAAAGAGCCAAGGTTGCCTACCCCTGACCTAGGTCATAGTTATATATAGGTAGTCTTTGATTTACAACCACAACTGAGCCTAAGATTTCCATTGCTAATCAAGACTGTTGTTAAGTGAATTTTGTCCCATTTTACGCTTTTCTTGCCACAGTTATGAAGTGAATCACTGCAGCTGTTAAATTAGTAACACTGTTGTTAAGAAGCTGGCTTCCCCTTTGACTTTGCTTGCAGAAGTTCTCAAAAAGTGATCACATGACCCCGGGACACTGCAACCATCATAAATATATGCCAGTTGCCAAGCATCCGAACAAGATCATGGGGATGCTACAACGATCAAGTGAGAAAAACAGTCATAAGTTACTTTTTTCAATGCTGTTATAACTTTGAATGGTGACTAAATGAATGGCTGTAATTCAGGGACTACCTGTAATTAAAATAGAGAAGCTGAAAAAGACCCAAATAAATTTTATGATGTTGTGTCAATTATTTGCAGCAGAATGAAATTATCTTTTTTCTCACTCTGAGTTTCCAAGTTAATCAAGGCACAGAAAATGCACACTATTGGAATGACACATTATTCATAGATGTTGTAAAATTAAAAACTTTCCATTTCTTTTCTAAAATGGGAAACAATTTATGGAATAGCTTAACAATTGCTTCCAAAATCTGATAGGAGTTTCAGCTTCCATGCTTTAATCTTAAATAAGACTTGAAAGAGGAAAAGAAAGAAAGGGAACAGAGTTATTTCTCTTTCTAAGAAAGCTTGCAGTACATTTTCTCATGTTTCATTCCCATCGAGAAGGCTTTCTAGAAGGAAAATGAAGCATTTCAAAAATTTAGCTTAAATTATGCACTTCACTGCATAATCAGGATACTCTATTCCTTTCAGCCACTACAGAGGCCACGTATCTACTTCAAGGGGAAAGATATCTTCAGTGAAAAAATTGGCCAAGACAGTTGCGTAGTAGAAACTTTCTGAGCATGCTTTTTTTCTAACCCAAAGAGTGATGGAAAGCAATTATGTAAAGGGGCTCAGGACTCTGCTTGTCAGCAGGAAAGCCTTTTGAAAACCGTACAGAAACTTGGTCTGGGGGCAGAATCCCCCAAAAGAAAGACTGAGTTGAAAATGGGCCAAGCACTGAGGAGAAAAAAAAATTCAAATAATCCCCTCATGCAGTCAAAGTGGGTCAGCATCTTGGAATGTTGCCAACTCCTTCATTCTAAGCCCCCTCCTTTTTTCCCCTAGTCATGTCACTCAAAGAAGAGCTATTATAAAGAAGTTCGGAGGGGGGGGGGAATCCAGACGTCAAACCCGGCGGTGCTTTCCCTTTTTCATTGTCTAAAGAATACTTTAGTAGGTCTGCCGGCAAAGACAGACTTTCAAAACAAAAATCAGGACAAAAGCTTTTAATCTATAAAGAGATTCCTTTGTTTTCTGTTTCTTGCACAGGGAAAAATGTCCTGCCTTCTGTGGGATTGTTCCCCAACAAGTTTTGCCGTCATCATCGTCATCACTATGATGACTTGTCTTGAAGTCAAATGAGAACTGAGAACTGAGGACCGATCCCTGTCTTCTAAATGGAAGATCTGAAGAATATCTTTAGGGCATGGAAAAAAGAACTTTTCCATTCTTACTGTCCTCTTTATTTTGCTGGTAAAACTATTTCTATAATCAAAGTAAAGAAATATGAAAATGGAAGAAATGCCCTTAAGCTTCTCCTAAAGAAACTATTAACATGTGACGTAGGAACTCTCATGCCCTCAGTTGGGAAGTCAGGAAGGGAAAAATAATGTCTCTGTTCCAACAGGTCCACTGAGATATGGGTTATCGGCCATGGGCCATCTCCATATCTGAGAAGAGTGCACTCAATCATAAACCCAGGATGCTGCAGAGACACACTGCCTTGTGTTTTGGAATGACAATTTATGTATTATTTATCTGATAGAAACATAAACTGCCCCCCCCCCAGCAATAACTGTGAATGTGACTGCTAAAGATTTGCAATTACCTTGAAAAAGTTTATCTTGTTTTGCTCAACATAAAAGGGTTTCTCTCAGTTCTGACAGATGTACGTACATACAAATATGCACAAATATATAATGAGAGAATCACTTCCACAGATTTATGACTGAAGAAAATCTCCAGCTGCGATTTCAGCTGAAATAAAAATGTTCAGCCTGCCAAGTTGGGGACTTTGCACAGGATTACTTTCTTTTGCTATTTTTCCTTAAGAGGTCATCTAAAATTCAGGCTTGTCTTCCTTTCAGGGCAATATCTTTGTGGCAAAAAGTGACAGAAATTAAAAAAATATATGACATAATTATGTTTCACTGCGAGTATTAAGAAAGCAACATAAGCATTTTTTCAGTTATAACATCTAATAAAATAATTTTGTCAGATAGTATTGCATTAAGGATTCTCTTAGATTTCTAATTCATGCAGAAAACTGTTGAATCCTGATATTTCTGCACATTTCAATATTTCAACATAATGCTGTGGAATGGGAGCCAAAGATATTGTAATAAAGACTGCCTAATGCCTGGCTGTTGATGTCATAGTGTGATCACTCATTTCCTGATGTGCTCATCACCCGGATCCTTCTGTGTTCCAGCTTACCCCAATTCTCCTTTCATAGCTTTATTAACTCTTTCTAGACTGTGGTCGAGCAATTTTACATATAGACAGGAATCCACACTCCCTAGAAAGGAACACTTGTTTTACTGAAACAGAGCTAATGGGAAACTTACAAGAAACAGAACAAAAACTAGAATGTCACCAACATCTATATAATTCTACCAAGAAACATGTAGAAATATGCCAGAAATGTACAGAGAACCGCTGTTGTGAGTTCTCAGGATTGATCAGACAAGACAAGCATATAAGAGCTTTTTTTCTGAACAGAGTCAGTTTTTTTAAAAAAATCTATGGTGTATCAAGAATAGAAAAAATGGTTTTTCTGTAAAAATTATCATTTCAGCTAGATAGCAATACAAGTGGGGTTCTCCCTTATCTTCTGGCTTCTACTGTCAAAGCATTTATGCGAATTCAGAGATTCACCACATGCTGGCAACAGTACCATTACTGTTGAAATGAGTGAGCTCCCTTTAAAATGTATTTGCTGCTAAATTCCCCATAGTTAAAGTTATATTTAAAGCTGACTGGAAATCTATCACAGCTAACATAACTTTTATCTTTTTAGTGCCTTTGCATCCTCTCCTCTTTCTGGATATCTGTGCTGGTTAGACAGATCCTATGCTGTACCATTCTCTTCCTTTGCATAGTATAATTCACCTTTATTCCATAAAGACAGAAGTGTATTTTAGGCAATCAATCTTATCCTATCCTAAGATAGGACAGGATTACTCAATCCTATCAAATTCAAATTCAATTTGCATCCTTTTCTGTGCCCTTCAGTCACCTTGGAGCATATAACTATTCAGGAGCCCAAGATTGCATAATAATAACAATAACAACAACAATAATCATCATCATCAAGTTGGAAGGGACCTTGGAGGTCTTCTAGTCCAAACCCCTCCTCAGGCAGGAAACTCTATACCAATTCAGACAAATGGTTGTCCAGTCTCTTTTTTTTAACTTCCAATGTTGGAGCATTTACAACTTCTGGAGGCAGGTTGTTCCACTGATTAATTGTTCTAACTGTCAAGCAATTTCTTCTTAGTTCTAGGTTGCTTCTCTTTTTCATTAGTTTTTATCCTTTGCTTCTTGTCCTGGCTTCAGGTTCTTTGGAGAATAGCTTGACTCCCTCTTCTTTGTGGCAGCCCCTGAGACACTGCTATCATGTCACCCCTAGTCCTTCTCTTTAAACTAGACATACCCAATTCCAGCAACCATTCTTTATTATGTTTTAGCCTCCAGACCCCTAATTATCTTTGTTGCTCTTCTCTGTACTCTTTCTAGAGTCTCAATATCTTTTTTACATCATGGTAAAATGCCGGCTGGCAACCTCCAGGGGGAGAGCCTTCTCTGTGGCAGCTCCTGCCCTCTGGAATGACCTGCCCCCCGACCTACATACAATTGTGGACCTGCGCCTCTTCCGCCGAGCCCTGAAAACTCATCTGTTCCATGCGGCCGGCCTGGCGTAGTTTTGATTGGGTTTTGTTAGGGGTTTTATATTTTAGAGCAGGCTTTTATGTAATATTTACTGTGATTTTTATTATTGCCTGTTCACCGCCCTGAGTCCCGTAAGGGAGATAGGGTGGTATATAAATTTAAATAATAAATAAATAAATAAATAAATAAATAAATGGTAATCAAAACTGGATGCAGCATTCCAAGTGCGGCCTTACCAAGGCATTTTAAAGTGGTATCAACACTTCACATGATCTTGATTCTATCTCTCTGTTATTGCAGCCTAGCACTGTGTTGGCTTTTTTGGCAGCTGCAGTACACTGCTGGCTCATATTTAAGTGATTGTCCACTAGGATTCCAAGATCCCTCTCACAGTTACTACTACTGAGTGAGGTAGTACCTATACTGTACCTGTGCATATGGTTTTTCTTGCCTAAATGTAGAACCTTACTTTTTTCAGCATTGAATTTCATTTTGTTAGATAGCGCCCAATGTTCAAATCTGTCAAGATCCTTCTGTATCTTGGTGTCATCTGCAAAGTTGATGAGTTTCCAATCTATCCCCTCATCCAAATCACTGATGAAGATGTTGAAGAGCACTGGGCCCAGAACAGAACTCAAAAACTTTCTTTGGGCCCTAGCCGTATGATTCCTCAACTGTGCTCTGTGGTGACTTGGGGCACTGAAGAAAATTCACAAGGGTGCCACAGGATATTTTACAACTTAAAAAAAATTATTTGCAATATGCAAATAATGCTTTTACATTGTAAACCTCCCAGACAGTGCTATGGGGCAATGTATAAGCCTAAAATACTATTGCTATGCTGTTGCTATTAATAAATGGAATAGTTGGTAAGTTTGCTGTGGCATTGTGGGATGTCATGGCATACAGTTTGAAAACTACTAAGGATGTTCTGAGCCAAGAAAGTTTGGGAACCTTCTGTGTTACCCATTTTTCTTCTCTCCCACCGAGCCCAATTTCAACATTAGTAGCTTCCTGCCCTCTTCTTGCTCATGTCAACTTTCTTTCCTTGTGACAGATTCTCTGTATAAAAAACATTATTTTGTTTATCCTCCAGCTCTTTCTCAGTCTCAGATTGTATGACAAATGCAGTTTATATGTTTGAGAGATCATGTGACAGGATGTCAGAGAATATATATACTTTATCCATTCCATCACACTAATTCTATACTACTAGTTTTAAACTTTTATTAAGGCCTTTTAGTTATTGCTGAACTGCTATGAACATCCCTGAGAATTAAAGTTTAATAGCACCTGAAGAGACTCCGGGTTCTCAACTGGATTTTAATGGTTTCATCCTACAAGAAGTAGAATGTATAGCCAGATATAATGTGAAAATTTGAAGCCCTGTGTAAGGATTCAAAGTATATAGACTTCCAATTAAGAAGGACATTTGTTCTGGAAAACTGCAGATGTTAACACATGCTATGCTACAACATTGTCTGGAAGAATGTTTGTAAGGCATCTGTCCTATAAAATTTGAAATAATAGAAAATACTTGTAGCTTGGATTTTAGATTTTGCCTGTGGTTTGTTCTCCAAGCTTGTTTCAATATAATTTTTGATTGTTTCGTTCAGAAATTGGTCAATCAACAAGAGCACCAACCAGCTACTCAGAATTTAAATATAGCACCAAACAAACAACCAATCGCTTGACCAACTAACCATATTGGCACACAAGACATTTATAAACTAAGGAGACTAGGACAAGAAAATCCTGCTGATGTTACCTGGCTTGGTAATGAAACATTCAGAAATTATATTGAAACAAGCTTGGAGAACAAACCACAGCCCAAACCTATAAAATTCAATTACTTAGAAATCAGAACTGTGACATCTTGATATATTTCCCACAAAACAAATGTGCAAATAGGAGAAAAATGTTCTGGTGATGTTAGTGCAACAAGTAAGTTACATGAAATTTAACTAGAAAGAATAAACATATACGCCGATCATATATTTGCTGCTGCTATTATTATTATTATTATTATTATTATTATTATTTATTTATTATTTATTATCATCATCGTCGTCATCATCATCATCATCATCATCAAAACAACTCTTCATAGACCACTACCTAAATACATGATTATTCTCTGCATCAAATATTATTTAGAATATACAACAAATACCTTTGTTTACATTCTGGCCAAGAATCACCATATCTGTTGTGAATTTCCGCAATACCACATGCAGAGTTGGATATTCAATGACAACCTTCCCTTTCAAATTGTCCAGAAGGCTTTTATTGGCATCCAATTCTTGATACCTTTTGGAAAGGATAATAAGCAGAATAAGTATTATATAGAGATTTGATTATTCCAACATAAAAATAAGTGTCTTGAGCACAAGCGTACTATATCAATATCTTTGAAAATGCAAAAACAATATGACATTTTTTTCAGAAACAAATATTCACTTCTCTTATCAGATGTCAGCCTTTTAAAAAGTTGACAGGTTTGCCGATCAAACTTCAGCTTTCTAGGACATGTGAAAATATGTTTAGTATTCTGGTGAGTCACTCTCCAAGACATATTTTTATGCAGTAATAATTCACCCTGTATTCCATAAAGAGAGACATGTATTTCAGGCAACCAATGGAAAATCCCTAAAATTTATTCTGAGGTAGTAATAAACCTCTTACAGCTCAACATTCCATTGCAACGTGCAATTCCATATTGTTGGCCTTTAAAAACAGTCCATTTTTAGGATGTTCCAACATAAGTTTTTTTTTTCCTTTTCCAACTACAGGAATACCTAATTTGGGCTTTGCTTATGATGTTGAAATAACTTAGCTATGTAGCATTTTCTGAGAGAAAGGGGGAGGAGGGAGAGTTACAACTATTTTACTTAACATTTCTTTAGTAAAGAGAATGCCTTGGAGTAAATATATATCACATTTCAGATTTTCAAGCCATAAAGCCTTAATCAATGGATTTAAATTTTGAAAAATATCTAAATATCTTTTTTAGGATTTTCTCCAATGGCAAGAATATTTTTAGCATTTTTATTATAATTCTTGCCAAATTTAAACTAACTCAGGTGGATGAATCTTGAAACAGTAGGCCATTTTTTTCTGACAAAAATGTAGACACATTTCTTATTTAATTTTTGTTTGAAATAAAATAAAATGGAAACAGTAATTTATGTGATCAAATCCAATCCCACTGCTCAGTTCAGTAATAAAATCAATCTGTATTCATAGAAAAGCATACACCCACATTAAGCATGATTGTATAGCTAACATAAGGAATAATTTGGCCATTTCATTTTGTTTTACATATTGTATAGGCTGCCTAACTCAGAAGACTCTGGGTAAGTTACAATATGCTAAAATTATGTGCAGCAGTAGAAATGAATCAAAATGATAAAAACAGTAATATTATAAGAGAGAACTATATAAAATGCTTGAGATTTTTCCTCCTACATGTATATTTCTACAAGGAACACAAATTAAAGTCCTTTACTATAATTTGATGCGGGATCTGTTAGTGCTAGAATGCACCAAACGGATACATTGAGATGCCCATTTGTTGTTTATTTAATCCTTTATCTAATGTGAATTATAATGACAGCCAAAGATAGACCATGTAGTATGAATTGAACACACTCAGGTGGAACATAAATAAAACTGATACATTTTTCACTATGAACAATGCTGAGGTAGGTAGGATTACAAGTGCATCTCCTACAACTCCATGCAAATAAAAAACTGACACAGTAGTTTTACTTTACTCTTTTGCTGTGCATTCTGTGCAGGAACATGTATCACAAGATAATCCAACACTTGCAATTTAAAGACACGTAATTTCATTTCATTTCTAGAATTTATTGAATCTAATAACTCACCATTATTGGCAGCTTATCGGATCTAACAGCCCACCAAACAAGAAAAATTACTCTAATGACTTTGTTTCTGTTATGTCTAATCACTTGAGTATCAAAGCAAAATAATGTTACTGCCTTAAAAAAGTTGCAAGGTGGCCATAGAGCTGAAAGCTATAAAGTTTTTTAAAGAAGTTTTATCCCTATATCTCATTGGGTTTTCTAGATATAGATGGGCCCCTAAGTTGAAATAATAGAAACTACTTGTAGCTTGGGTTTTATATTTTGGCAGTGGTTTGCTCTCCAAGCTTGTTTCAGTTTAGTTATATACTAAATAGATAGATGGGCCCATAAGTTATATACCATTAGAGAAGCAGAAAGAAGATCAGAGAATTATCTCAGGAATAAATTGCTCTTTCAATTTCCCAATAATGAACTAGCAATATTAAGCAAAGCACTCTATGGACCAAATTTTGAAAGTTTAATTAATATACAACAAAGTTCACAGAACACTGTTACATAGCAACATGATACTGCTGGGAAGAATTAGTGGTTGTTTGTTGAAGCAGAATTCAAATTGCAATAATCTAACTTTGTAGTTTAATCCTGAACTCCCCATATCAGCAACTGCAAACTGAATTCCCCAAAGAAAAATTCCATTTATTCATGTGTTTACAATTACCCAAATGACTTTGATCTTTGATCTAACACCAATTCCATATACAGGGTACTATTTTTCTCCCTCTGGGACTATGCATTCATGGCAATAAATAAACATCAATAGAGTATTTCTAAACTGTAATAATTTGTATTTTACGAATGTACAAACTACTACACTTCAGAATAAGCTTCTCATAGGAAAATAATGAGAATGTCAATGCCTCAAACCCCAAATGAACAGACATAAATTCCTAAGAGAAATTATAATTATTAAATAACTATCATGCTCTTAAAACGATTGTGGGAGCTGGGAGTCTGAGGGATCCAGAAGGCACCAGGTTGCTCTTTTCAATGTCCAATATGCAATTATCCTAATCTGGACTAGTATAGATTATTTCTGCTATAGAATTCCTTAGCAATAACGACAGGGCACAGGTTAATATTTTTGATAAACTTCACAGAGCTAGAGTTTAATGATCCAAATTCAATTAAAATACAGTACTGCAACTTGCTTTTCCTGGTTGGAAAGAAAGAACTTTATGCAAGAGTTGCTTCCCTTAAATCCAACTTCAATCATCATGAAAATAATTTGGTTTATTTATTTTTTTACCTCAAGTAATTATGACCAGTTCTTCCTAAACCCATTTTTTTAAAAAAAGGATAAGAGTATTTTAAATTCAAAGAGTGCTTTCATAACATTTGGAACGGCACATGAGGAGAAACATATTTGCTGATTTATTTACAGTACTTTAATACAAAGTACGGCGGTACCTTTCCACTGGCAAGAATCTCCACGCATTCTTTTCTGATTAAGCAAACATTTACCACCAAAAGGCTAAAGTCATTCACATGCCACAATACACTTTCCATTATCTCATGTTTTAGACAAAACATCCTTAGCGTCCAGCTTGGCAGAGCATAAAACATTTGTACTTTAAACTATTTTATGATAGTAAATTATTCAAGTGTTAGATCACCAAGGCCTAGTTTTAAGTAAACTTTATTGGTTGACAGACAGGGACAACTTCTGGCTAATACTCAAGGCCTCTGGTAGAGTGTGAAGAGCTAAAGAACTGTAAGAGAGGAGAAGAGTTTACAGTAATGTTACTAACTAAACTTATTGTCGTTTTATTTTTAATTCCTTGGTTAACCCTCTTTCTATTAAAATATACTATTCTCTTTATTATAAATTTATTCAGCACTTAAACAAGCCTTGAATACGTTGTTTATTCAATTTATCATCAATTCTGCCACAGATTTTCAACACTGCTAAAACAACAAGCCTAAGTTAGGTGTTTCAAAGTAAACTACAGAGATGACAATGTTAGATTTGACAGTTTTTCATATTATAAGAAACCACCTCAACCCACCCACAGCTTTTATAACAGAGCTTTATCTCTTACATTCTTGTTGACATCTAATTTCCATGATCAGCAGGAAGGAAGGGAGAGATGAAAGGAAACTAAGAAGAGACCAGAAGGTTATATATTAATCTTTAGCTAATCATGTTTGGCTAAATATAACAGTGGCTCAAAAGGTAGTATACAAGTATTTACTGCTGAATCATAATTTGTAGTCTTTAGTGCTGTTAGTTCATTTGATTTACAGCTTTGTCCTTCTTGTCTTTTAAAGCTTTAGCTTCCTTCTCTCTTTGACATTCATTTTTTTCAAAAACTGGTTACCATCTGCTCTGTCTCTTTCAACCTGGGCTTTTTAAGCTTCTTAATCTTCTCCCAATTTGACAGGCAATTTTCTGAGATAAATGAAAAATGCAAAGGTGTTGTTTAGCTCACTTCAATCTCTCCTAATTTTAGTTTTCACAGTACCCATGATGATAAAGGTGATTTTTGTGTGTGTGTGTCTCCTTATACAAAAGGGTCTTTGTTAGCTTCTAATATTTTACTTTATAGATGATGCTATTTCTACTGAATTTTAAAAATATATACCCTGCCTCTCTGTCATAATGAAGATAAATAGGTAATTATTTTTAAAATAATTTTAATGAAGTTTTTAGTGACCACAGTAAAAACAAATTCAAAATAAACCAGAAGGTACGGGGGAGGGGGAGGAAGTAAAAACTGTAGGCTCCAACCTTCAGCACACCAAGCATAAGCTAATATAGTAACTTTTTATCCCTTTTATAATTACCTTTTCTTCCCATAGCCTAACTTTTTTGTATGTGTAACCCATAAATTGTCATTTTTTAAGTTCTGCTTCAGTAAATGGTCCAGTACACGTTATCAGAAATATTGTGCAAATTGTTTATCTCTGATCAAATAGTACAATTTTAAATCCTTTCTTTTCGCTCCTCATAATCTTTGTCCTGTAAATCATTCCAATGGCATTGTAGGATTTAATCTTTCATTAATCTCTAGCATTCAACAGGAGTTTTAATCATGGAAATTTTGTGGCTGATGATAAAGATACAAATCTTATGATGGAGTTGCTCATCTGATCTTGCAGAGTATTCAGATGAACACTGTGTTTGGGAAAAGAATTCTTGTGTAAGAATTTAAAAAAATATTCTGATATCTGCATATACTGACAAAGATGGCTCCTGAAGGGAGTCACAATCTGTCACCATTACATTTTACAGACCAGTCCTCAAGGAAATGAATATGTGAATTTGGGGACCAGGTGTGTAACATTTCATAAGATTCAAGAAAAAGAGTTATCTACTTATTTCCTTATTTGCTATGTTTGTATCTTCACCTTTCCCTTAGGAATTCAAGGGGGCATACAAAGTTATTCCAATTCTTCCCTCCACAATAGCCCTGTGAATAA